CCTGTGTAAAGCTTTGTAATACTAACCTAATGCACGGTAAAGGAAATTTGACATACATAATGCTTCTGTGAATTGACACTTTCATTTTAGCTGAGTCCAATCAAATTAAAATTTATATAACATTGCTACTATTAAAAAAACATAATTTTTCTTGTGAAAAATGTTGTGAATTGAGCCTCATGTGCGGTAATTCAAATTTGACATACGTAATGTTTTAGTGATTTGACACTTCACTGATTTAAAAAACAGAAGAATGCTTTATGTTTAAATCTGCATTCAACTTTGAGAATAAAAATAAATGATGATCTGGGGAAACAAAATGTTAAAAACATGACATGCAGCTGTTAAGGGCATATTTTATAATGTCTTTTCTCCAGTAAAATGTGCCATGGTGCTCTCCTGTATGAAGCACAGCAGAATCAGTGGTAGAGAAGTTTCAGAGAAGACAAGTGTGTGTGCTTTTTCTCTCTGTTTGGGGGTTTTAATGCTCCACCCCTCCTCAATGAGTGAAGAGAATCTGCACAATAATGAAGCATGTAAGGAGGGATGACATCACCAGTCAGTGGTCCCAGCTCCCAAACACAGCATTCACCTTTTATTGTCTTGATGACATGGTTGGAATGTGATGGCAGAGACCCCAGAGAACACGAGCCAGAAAAAGGCTTCTTGAGGTTTCCGAGGAGAGTTACTATGTCTTTTAAACTATCTGCTGGCTGATTCTGAAGGTAAAGAAAATCTCATATTGTTGTAGTATCAAACACGCTGCTGCTGGACTGGAAGGAGCTCATTTGTCCTTAAAGTCCTTGTGAATTCACTTTTATTTACAGTGTGAACACTGCAAGTTGTTCTGGGGGGTTAAGATCAGGATACTTGCAGCAGCAGTAGTTGAGTCCTTTAATTAGTGTTTTTGCTTTTTTCCTTTAAGACAATGTATTACAGGACATTGCAGAACAAGTGAGGCTTGCACTGATGGTAGTATACTGTGATACGGATTTTGGTTTGCCTATAAATGATTTATTTAATTTGAGTTTTTTTTTATTACCTTTATTGTTACAGTCAAAAAAGCAAATATGTTTGTTTTTTTTTTTTTAAATTTAAACATTATAGAGTTTATTTAAGAGAAATCAAAAAATAAGGCTGATAGAAAGCATCTAGGCTTTAGCTTTCATAGCTTAGTTTGACTAGATTAGTAAAAGATGATTTTTGTTTATTGCTAGGGGTTACCTAACTTGCACTTCAGTTTATGGGCCCTTGTGTTTTTTGTTATTAATAAATGTAATGATAGTACTGGATACATCAGTAACCAAATGGGTCATATGCAGAATAATGATAGCCTACGTGCCTTTTTTTTGGTTGTGTTTTAAGTGGAGCAATTACATTTGACAAATTAAACAAGCCATCTTGCACCTGCTTTAGGAAATTTCAATTAAATTACTAACCAGCAGAATACGGAAATGTCTAACCCTGCCACGAGTAGTACCTTTTTGTATTATTGTAGTCCTCAAAGCTTCTGTTAATGTCAAGGGCAATGATTTAGAGAAAAGGTTCAAGTCCTTACAGTCCAAAATAACAAGATCATTTGGTGAGGCCAAAAATGTCTGTTTGATGTATCATACCTACTGTATTTTGTGTTTGTTTCAATTGTTACACTTTTACTTTATAAATAGTTGTCTTGTCCCTGGTGGAAAACAAATGTGGAGATTGTGAAAAAAGGGACACTGGATGGTTGAGACACTGTGCGCCATGTAAAGCAAAGGCATGCACAGGAAGTTAAAATCAGGCAATGGACAGGGCAGGTAGCTCAAAATCAAAGTTAGAATACAAGCCAAGTCAAGGCATGCAGCTAAACATCATAGTTATTTATCACAAGTTGGTCCAGGAAACATGAAGAGCAGCAGATTCAGACACAAATCAAGGGTCATCGATCATAAAGTCACATAAAAAACAGTATAGCAGAAAAAAATGGAGATTGCAAACATGTCTCCTCTCATTTCTTTATTGTAAACAAAGGTGTAGGACAGGAGCTTAGAAAATTTTCATGACCCATACTTAGTCGTAGAGTGACTCTGTCATGTACCTGATAGAAGTCTAAATTGACAAGGTCAGCCTCTCTTGTACCTCCAACCCAGGCCTGGAACAGATGGTGCCAAGGGACAGGAGAAACACAAGTGCCTGTGGATACTGATTGCAGAACTTGCAGCTGGGTAAATCAAACAGGGCATCCAGTCAGGAACAGAGAAGATGCCGGAACTGCCAGCTGAGGTTAAGGAAGCACTCCACTGGAACAGCAAGATCTGGTATGTGGCTTGTGCCAGAAGAAGCGTGAGGCCAGAACACACCGTGACAACAGGAGCTGATATAATATATAGCCAGGGCAAGCACACGGCAGGACTGTAGAGCCAAACTGGAGCTGGAAGCATAGTCAGAGTAATAGCCAGGGTCAGCAACGCGCAGGTGATGAGGTATCGGAACATCAGACAGAGACAAGGTCACGAGGAAGCCAGGATCAGAAACTGATGAGCAGAAGCATAAACAAAATCCAAGAGCAGGTCAATGGCAAGCCGGGTCGGTAATTGATGCACACAGGATACAGCAGGACACAGGGAATTAGCTGAAGACCAGTCAGCACTGACAGAAAGTAAGAGCCTCTTTTAAATAGTCCGTCTGGCACCAGAAACTGTGGGCACGCTCCCGTGTGTGTGTACCTGTGTGCACGCGTATTCTATGCTCATTTTTATTAGCAATGCGCCCTTGCTGATTTCTATGCACAATGTTGCATGCATGCGCATTTCTATGCGCCAGTCGCCATACAGGGATTCCCTTACAGACTTTGTTACTAAATGCATATGTGTAGAAAGCTCAAGAGTATTTTACACTGACAAACTTGACTGAGACCATCCATTTCCTATATTGACTTTGGATCTACACCTGCTCAGATCTCCAGTGTGATAGCGTAAAAATGTGTACATATTGGCATATACATTGGGTTGCCTCGTGTGAATTTTATTACTTACAAGCATTTAACAGAGTATATGCAATATCAGTGTTCCAAGACACTAACAGAAAATATGTGACCACTCCTGGTTAGCTGAAGTTAGCTAAGTGTTTCTCATAATCCTGTGTATGTATGAAAGACATACATAGCATTATGAATTACTTTTTAAGTAATTACGTTAACCTGTCATGAATGTAATGTGTGCAAATTACCAGTAATCATATGTAAGCTGTGTTATGTTTGGACCATAATCATAGAAACTTCAACTTTGTAGGTGAAAGGTGAGCATTAGCAAGTCCCTCTTAGGCAGAAGTTCCCCACGCTCTGTTAAATTTCCCCACAGTACGTCCTCTTGAAACTTGTTTGCACAGGAGAATGTAAGTTTGGAACTGCCCAATATAGACCAGCTTCACAGTTCATTCCAAGCAGATGCAGGATCTGACAGCAGCATTGAGAAAAACATCTACATCAAATATTCACTATTTACAATATTTATATGATAGGCTGGAGTGCTTTTGGGTGGCGTTTTGGAATTCAGAAGTAAGTTACTAAGTTATTAAGATGTCTAATTATAGACAAAGGAGGAAGTATAGTAACAACTGACAAATTAAATTTGAGCTTTTATAATCTGGAACAATTTAAACAATGAAGCAGATATGTCACTCTTGACAATGCTTTAACTACCCATTTTTTTGTCCAGAATTTTAAAAAAGGTCCAATGATGATAAAGATTGAATAATGAAGAGTTTATAATCTACATTCTTAGGACAAGTGTCATGAAGTCAAAGACCTGCTTTCTTGCTCCTTCTGATTTATGTAATGTCTTGACACCATATAAATTACTATGGGATTAGAACTTTCTTTGAAGCCACACCAGGCCGCAACCCTCCCAGCTCCAATCCCTCACTAGTGGTTTATGTCAATGATAATTCCGTGGAACGCTGACAAAGACAAAGTTTTCCTGGAGCTCCAGGCTGTAGTATGCCAACATCCAGTGCTGGTTACTCTGGATTTTTCCATTTATTGTACATACAAATACCCAGAGTGGGGATTTGGGAGCAGTGTTGCCTCAAGAAATCATTAGAGGAAATCAAACCATTATTCTTCCCAGCTGAAACCTGTTGGCCTTCAAGAGAACATACACAGTGGTAGAGCAAGAGTTCCTGCCCTTAAAATAAGCTCAACCTCTCTGCAGTACTTTCTGCTAGGCTGGAGACTGCTTGCTGTCAGAGCATGCCCCCGTAACCTGGATGAGACAAAACAAACATGCCAATGCAAGAGTGACCCAGTGACTCCTGTCATTCCAGAAATTTAGTTTTGTGGTTAAGCACAAACCTGGAAGACAACATCAGAATGCTGGTGCCATCTCTTGATTGCAATCTAAGGTCTCGCAGGTTGGGGCAGAAAGGGATGGGAAATATCTCTCCATTATTTCAATTTTGTTCCCTTTAGCAGCAGTAGAGGGTTAACTTGCAAGGAAGGGTTTATATGTAGAAGATGCAGGAGTTTGTAGCAGGTGCCTGTGAGAAGTTATGATAGTTGTCATATAGCTTAGCTTGTCTGGAGAATGTCTCTGGGTTGGAAAACACCCCTAAAAGCTTTGAGACTGCTCCTGTGGGTAAAAGGCTGTTGTCAGTGAGACTTCTTTGTGTTGTAATTATTATGAGAATAAGCAGAATTATTTTTTTTTACTGAGAGAAACAGCTTTGCTCCTTAAAGTGTTGTGTTGCCTTTTTGGAAAATAAAGATAATTATTGCTTTGGTGATCCCTGATCCCTGAACAAAATATAAATATATATGGCTTTGGGGATCTTTAAATACCACAGGTTTATTTACTCTAACAACATGGTGTAACAAAACAGTATAAAATTTCAAAATGAGAACATATGCATTATATGACTATTATACACAGCAACCAAAATACTTAAAGCCTTGGTTTCTCTACTATTGTTAGCGGTTATTTATAGTAAGAACAATTAAAATTATTGTCTTACTTGTATTACAGGTTAAAGAAGTTACTGGAACAGGAGAAAGCTTACCAAGTGCGGAAAGACAAAGAATATACCAAGAGACTTAATAAAGTTAGAGATGAATTGGTAAAGTTGAAGTCATTTGCACTGATGCTAGTGGATGAAAGACAAATGCATATTGAACAGCTTGGTCAACAAAGCCAAAAGATACAAGACCTTACTGCACAGCTTCAAGAAGCAGAGGCAAAATTGAAAGCAGCCTGTGCTAAAGCCAATGAAGACAGCCAGAAAGTTATTAAATTGGAATTAGAACTTGAGCACAAAACCTCCAAGTATTCTCAAGAGCATGAAGAAATGTCTACGAAACTGGTCACTCAAGAGTCCAATAATCGTCAGCTCCGACTTAAGCTAGTGGGTCTCAATCGTAAAATTGAAGAATTGGAAGAAGCAAATAGGAATCTTATAAAAGCTGAGGAGGAGTTGAAAGAACTAAGAGAAAAAATTGCCAAAGGAGAATGTGGAAATTCAAGTTTAATGGCAGAAGTAGAGAGCTTACGAAAGCGAGTTTTAGAAATGGAAGGAAAAGATGAGGAGATAACAAAAACAGAAACACAGTGTAAAGAACTACAAAAGAAACTCCACGAAGAAGAACATCAGAGCAGGGAGCTAAAGCTGGAAGTAGAAAAACTGCAGAAAAGAATGTCTGAATTAGAAAAACTAGAAGAGGCTTTCATGAAAAGTAAAGCTGAATGCTCTCAGCTTTATGTAAAGTTGGATAAAGAAAAAGCCCAAACAAGAGAGCTGACCAAAGAAGTTGATTTGGTGAAAACTCGAGTTAAGGAATTAGAATCAGTAGAGGGAAGACTAGAAAAGGCAGAGCACAATTTAAAAGACGATTTAACAAAGTTGAAATCTTTCACTGTGATGCTTGTTGATGAAAGAAAGATCATGATGGAAAAGATAAAACTAGAGGAAGGAAAGGTTGATGATCTAAACAGGAGTTTAAAAACTGAACAAGGTAAAGTTATGGAAGTAACAGAGAAACTTATAGATGAAAGCAAAAAACTTTTGAAACTAAAATCTGAAATGGAAGAAAAAGTATCTAACTTGACTAATGAGAGAGATGAGTCCATCAGCAAACTGAGAAATGTGGATGAGAAAAATTGTGAATTAAGTTGCAAAGCAGAACTGCTCATGAAAAGAATAGAAAATATGGAAGTTTCTGAACGAGAAGCTGCACGTAGCAGGGCAAAGAAGAATTTTGAGTCTGTGCACCATGAAGATAACAAGACGAAAGAACTGCTTTTAGAAATTGAGAGACTTAGAAACCGCCTTCAACAGCTGGAGGTGGTTGAGGGAGACTTGATGAAAACAGAGGATGAATATGATCAGCTAGAAAGAAAATTTAGAACTGAACAAGACAGAGCTAATGTACTTTCCATACAGCTTGAAGAGCTGAAAAGCCAAATTGCAAAGAATAAAGCCATTGAAAAAGGAGAAGCTGTAAGTCAAGAGGTTGAACTTAGGCACAGAATTCGAGTAGAGGAGGCTAAGAACAGAGACCTAAGAGCGGAGGTACAAGCACTTAAAGAAAAGGTTCATGATATGATGAACAAAGAAGATCAGCTTTCTCAGCTTCAAGTTGATTATTCAGTTCTTCAGAAAAGGTTTATAGAGGAAGAAAATAAAAACAAAAATATGGGACAAGATGTTCTGAATTTGACAAAAGAGTTAGAGCTATCAAAACGATACAGCCGAGCTATCAGGCCCAGCATGAATGGAAGAAGAATGGTAGATGTCCCTGTGACATCTACTGGAGTGCAGACAGATGTTTTGAGTAATGAATCTGTTGAGGAAGAAACCCCAGCAGTGTTCATCAGGAAATCCTTCCAAGAGGAAAATCATATTATGAGTAATTTAAGGCAAGTTGGTCTTAAAAAACCAGCAGAGAGGTCACCTGTTCTGGAGAGATATCCACCTGCATCAAATGAGCTAAATATGCGAAAATCATGGATACCATGGATGAAAAAAAAAAGAGAAAATGGTACTTCAGTCACACCAGAAAGAGCAATTCGTCCAAATCTTAGCCAAGGGCACCATGGTGAAGTGTTTCTCTCACCAAAACAAGGTCAACCTCTTCATATAAGAGTAACACCAGACCATGAAAACAGCACCGCTACTTTGGAGATAACCAGCCCACCTTCTGAGGACTTCTTTTCAAGTACTACAGTAATACCAACTTTAGGCACTCAGAAACCAAGGATTACAATTATTCCTTCTCCAGCTGTCATGAGCCAGAAAGTTAAAAGTGCTGATTGCCCCATATCCCCTGAAAGGGCAATGTCCCCTGTGACAATAACCACATTTTCGCGGGAAAAAGCTACAGAAGGTGCCAAATCCAGTTTTGGGGACAGACCTACATCACCAATTCAGATACTCACAGTATCAACATCTGCTGCACCTCCAGAGATATCTGTTTCACCAGATGCACAAGAAATGACTATGGGTCGTGCTGTATTCAAAGTTACCCCTGAAAAACAGACTGTGCCAACTCCTATTAGAAAATACAATGCTAATGCGAACATAATTACAACAGAAGATAATAAAATTCATATCCATTTAGGCTCTCAGTTTAAAAGAAATCCTGGCAGTTCCTCAGAAGGAGCCACTCCTGTCATAACTGTTAGACCTTTAAATGTTGCTACAGAAAATAAAGAGGTTGCAACTGGCACAGTTCTTCGATCTCCTAAAACCAACCTGTCTGCCAGATCTACAACAAATAAAGTCACCAGCTCTATCACTATAACTCCTGCTACAACATCTTCCACACGTTCTACCCAATCAGTGGTGAGTAGTGAGCAATGCAATCTATTAAAAGAAAGGTAAACCTAATTTATGGCTTTACCTAGTAGTAGAAATTCACATTTACAGTAACTGGACTTGTTCTGCAATGCTGAAGACGTTTTGTACAAATGAAGTACAAAAAATACATTTGGATAGGTATATATTTAATATAAGTAATATTTACTAATGTAACTTTTAAAGTGTTCACATTATCAATTAGGCTTTCCTATAGGATTAGGCTAAATCATACTTAAATAGGTTGTAAAAGTAAACATTTTTTTACCTTAATGTATTCATTTTAAATAGAACTACAAGGCAAAGGCAAATCTTTTTTCCCATTTTGGATAGAGTATAGGATGGTTATTACCCCAGCTGTTTTTTTTTATTTGCCCTCTGTGTCCATTTGGGCAAATTTTCCTTTACTTTCTTTCCCATAGCCAAACAGGAAGTGAAAGAAAATCCCTAGACCTAGGGTCCCCATTGGAAGATTTGCCCTGTATTTCTGTTCTAGTGACAAATCAAAATGTGGCCTTTTCTTACTTTTGGTGATAATGGTAAACAAGACAAATAGAGAGGGTGAATCTCCTAAATGTTGGCACAGATAGCAATAAAAACCTGACTGGTGTTTTAATTCCTCTCCAAGTTTTGATTATAGTAGTTAGTTTAGGCACCCTGAATGAATCTGTCTTAATATTAACCATAATGTCCTGCACAGCACAGCAGACAAGGACACAGAGGGGTTGATTTACTAAAGGCAAATAGACTGCTCACTTTGTGAAGGAAGTTGTGCTTTTCAAGGTAATTCACCCCAGAGCTTAGTAAATGTGGAGAAGCTTAATTTTTGCAAAGAATGACCAATCACGTGCAAGGAAAATTAAAAAAAAAAATGCATTTCTTTCTTGCACATGATTGGATGTCATTAGAGCTTCACCTCATTCATTAAAGTGGAGCTCCACCTGAAAGGGGAAGTTCTGCTTTAAGGACTGCCTCCCCGCTCCCCATTAAGGATTGGCACCTTGGGGGGCGGGGGAGGGGAGCGGGTAACCAAATTTGACAGGTACCCACTCCCGGTCTGATCAAGGTGTCCTCCCTCCCTCCCTCCCTGTAGTCTTTTGGGACATGTGACAGGTCCCAAAAGACCACAGGACCATTCATAAAGCGCAGCGCTACTCACGCATGCGCAGTGGGTACCCGGCTGTGAAACCGCAAGCTGTCACAGCTGGGTGCCCACGCTGAAGATGCCGGTCTCCTGGAATAAAGGACGGTCGGTGAAACGGGCTGCAGGGGATGCACCGCAGAACCGAGGGACAGGTAAGTGGCTGTTGTTTAAAAGTCAGCAGCTACAGTTTTTGTAGCTGCTGACTTTTATTTTTTGACAGCGTGAGTGGAACTCCAGGGCAACTTCCTTGCAAAATGCAACTTCCCTTGCAAAGTGAAGACCTTATTTGCCTTTAGTAAATGAACCCCTTGTGCTTCTGTTCATTCAATGTCCAGGCACAGGCAGGAGTTGTTCCTGGATCAGGCTATATTGCCCTGTAGTCTGTAGGACCTCTTGATGCTCTCTTGCATTCACGTCTGTTTTACAAGACTCTATAAAGTTAAAAAGAAGCACTCCTCACAGTACTCAACCTTGTAATATGTGCCCAAAGTGTTTGCCATGGATGGTGCCGTACCAGAACCAAATGCAAAGATGTGATGTCACCTGCACACTCTAAATATATGTGTTTCAACTGTTTATTGTCACATAAGGCATTATACCTTATGTGATGTTCTCTTCACAATAAACACATGAAGTGCATCTACTGTACTTTGGCGTACTGGTGAATTCACATCTTTGTTTTACAAGGCTGGCTGGATAAAATTACATATCATTTAGGGCAGCACAGTGGCTAAATGGTGAGCACTTCTGCCTGGCAGTACTATGGTTGTTGGTTCAAATCCCAGCCATGGCACCACCTGCCTGGAGTTTGCATGGTCTCCCTGTGCCTGCGTGGGTTTCCTCCAGGTACTCTGGCTTCCTCCCACACTCCGAAGACATGCTGGTAGGTTAATTAAATCCTGTCTAAAATTGTCCCTAGTATGTGTATGTATGAATGTGAGTTAGGGACCTTAGATTGTACACCCCTTGAGGGTTAGGGACTGATGTGAATGTACAATATATATGTAAAGTGCTGTGTACATTGACAGTGCTATATAAGTACCTGAAATAAACAAATTTGGAAGCTAAAACCATTCACATACTGTCTATAGTATGTCTGTCAACTGTGTATTAATCTGTATGACTTAGATTCAGCTTTATTTGTATTAAAGCAGTATTAAACCCTAAAGCAAACATTTATTATATTGCAGCTTACCAATTCTTAGATGTGGTGGCTGTATTAGTTTTTTTTTAGGCTTTCTTTCTTCTATTTTCATCTGGTGATCTGGCCAGTGAGTCTGTTGTTTTTCAAAAGAAGAAGCCTACAAAAAGAAGGAAAACGAATGCAGCCCCCACATCTAATGATTGGTAAGCTGCGACATATTACATTTTTTGTTTTGGGTTTAACACCACTTTATGGTTTAAGTTTCTAAAACATTTAACTGGGAAAAAAGATTTTTATATATTCCATTTTAGAGCGGTGTAAAAGTCATCCAAGCAGCTGGGTCTGCCTACACCACAATAGAGACCGGGGAAGTGCTGCTACTGTGCTGTCACAAAAACAGTAACTATGTAGCCAGCATGTCTGACACCAGGATTAGCAGTCCAAAGTATCATCCAAAATGCATAATTTACTGCTGTTATGTAAAATGTTCTAAAAGCTAAATTTGGATCTGTACTATCCTGGGCACATCCATTGTGCTGGCTACGGTCATAGACCAATTTTATACTACCAAATATAACATTTTGAATTGAATGGTGAATTTCTTTGAGGATACCAGTTTTCCAGGTATTTTGTTCACACTCATTTGATATCATATCCCCTTGAGTTTATTTTTTTTACTACTTTGTCTGCACAAACATGCTTGCATAGCTACACCACAACATTATTAAGCCATCAGCCCCCAAGTTCCACTTACCACAGCTGCATTATGTTTAAATGTAAAATATGTGAGCATAGCTTGAATTTAGTACACTTCTACAGAAGTAAATTTCAGTGACTTTTTTCTGTACAATACAATTTAATAAATCAAATATTTTATTTTAATCACGAAAGTGCATTGCATCTACAAAATAATTTATTTTATTGTTTAAGTAATTATCAGAGGCTGCTTATTCATGGGGCCCACTGGAAGATCTCATGGTACTATTAATAGTCGGCCCTACACCCAGAATTCAATAGTGAAGTAAATATGAGTTTTTCCAATGCCTTCAAAGTGACTGGACAATAATGCCATGTAACACTGTATGTAAATATATTAATTTACTAATCTACAAACTGTTTAGCATTTTTAAATGTAGTTTTGCAAAAATTCTGGTTGGGGCTAAACCTAGACACCTAAAATCCACCTTAAGTCCACTTCATAGCAGAGTAAGAATATTTATCAGTGATGTCAGTGGATGGCAACAGCATATAATACCAAAGGAATTGATCTGTAATTGATTTAACACATTATTTCCTCACTATTAATTCTCTCTCATATGCATAAACAAGGACTTTAGTACCTATAATACTTAAGGGAAAGGGTAACTTAAAATTAAAAACTCAACCAATTCTAGAATAACCCCCACCCTTCCCCAGATGCCTACGTAACTCTTTCTGATGTCAGAAGCCTAATGGGAAGAGGAGATGTTGTCATTCTTGTCCTCCTCCTCTGTTCACAGAGCTCAGTGCATCACGGGAGTGTAGTAAGAAAAATTCTATGAATGGTGGAGGAGGAAGGAAGGGGTAGGTGAGTGGTGCAACTTTCCTGATTAGGAGCTTCTGCTGTTAACATTCATAGCACCAGAAGAGAGATGCTCAGGGCAGTATCCGCCAGCTGTGAAGGGAACACAGCATGAACGATTTTGAGGGGAAGCAGCTGACTGCAGGTAATGGGATATACATCGTTACACATACCTAAAGTGCATGGTGCTGTATCCCAATAAAATCTTTTTTTTAACTAAACTTCAGCTTTAAGGCACTATTAGACAGATAAATATTACATATTTGCTTGCTAATATTGTTATCTCCCTTTGATTCAATAGCAGGGGCAATAAGCTCCTTTTTAGAAGTTTATTTTCTGCTCTGTTCAAAATAATCAGTTCTCTGCAGACCTCAATAGCTCACGCTAAAGTTTACACCCACGGGTGAATAAATAACAGCGGTGCGTTGTGAGGAAGAAAATCTGTGGCTCCTATGATAGTGGAAATGGACAAACAGTGCACTAACCAGATAGCGCAGCTGAATGCGCATGGAGTATATAAGACCTACTCCGGGTACTCTGGATGTTTGATACTGCAAAGGATCGATGTCATCAGTAATGCATCCACCAGGTGTCACCCATCCGAACAGAACATCCAGCCTCCAGGAATGCCACTTACAGCCACCAGGGGGGGTGTTTCAAGCACAATGCCCAGCCACAGAGATCACCTTCAAAAAACAGGCTCCCAAGGAATAAAGAGCCCGAGAGAAAGCCTCCAATGGTGTAGTATGTCTTTTTATTCCAAAAAGTATGAGAAAGTGTTTGGACACAAAATGCATTAGGGAGGTGCCCCTAACCACTGTGCACATACCATAAGGCCGTTTTTGGGATACCCGTCGGCCATGTTGGAATTTGAATTTCATGTAAGTTGCTTTCATCCTTTATATGCTGTTACTTTTTGGAATAAAAAGACATACTACACCATTGGAGGCTTTCTCTCGGGCTCTTTATTCCTTGGGAGCCTGTTTTTTGAAGGTGATCTCTGTGGCTGGGCATTGTGCTTGAAACACCCCCCCTGGTGGCTGTAAGTGGCATTCCTGGAGGCTGAATGTTCTGTTCGGATGGGTGACACCTGGTGGATGCATTACTGATGACATCAATCCTTTGCAGTATCAAACATCCAGAGTACCCGGAGTAGGTCTTATATACTCCATGCGCATTCAGCTGCGCTATCTGTTTAGTGCAATGTTTGTCCATTTCCACTATCACAGGAGCCACAGATTTTCTTCATCACAACGCATCTATTGACTGTTTTTTGCACTTGTCACTTTAATTATCCCATATATGGGGATTCAACACCTATTCATTACTGTGATTTAAGGTTTATTTATGTAAGGGTGTGTTTTTAGTTCCACTAGCGCTGCATATTTATATCCACTTTATTCTTTCATGGGTTCTTGAGGTTTACCTGTATATGCTAGCGGCTAATTTATCATTTACACAGCGCTCGATTACTTACCATTTATTCTAAATAACAGCGGTGGCTCATCCCTTATTTTGTGTGCAGTGTTATCTAATAAATGAGTCCATACAATTCTACACATTGACCCACAAGCACGCACAACAGTGTAAATGGGTGCCAAAACAGGACTAAAATAAAATTGATGCAATTGATGCAAAATAGGCAGAAGTCAATTCCGGTGTACAGCCTGGACCTTGGACCTACGTGGTGCCACAGATACATTGAGATTAATTTGAAGACTAACACACACTCTTGAAGGCACCACTGCACATTTTAGACCAGGTCAGAATTTCTTTGAGCCATTTGTGTTAAAGATGCTAAGTCAACTTATTGTACATACACATATTGTACATGACTATATACCATAAAGTATATAGTACTACTGTGATTGCATTGGAAGTCTGTGGTCATATATTCTCTGACAGCCACATGCTGTAAAATAAATAACTAAGTTGTTGATGTCATCATGCTGATAATTTCTCTAGAGCCTATAGACCCAGAATATCTCTCTCTCAATCTATCCATTCAGTCATATCCAACCCTTGGCAATTGTATGGACTGTCACTCGTAAGCAACTTTTTCCATGAATTCTCTTAGCAATTATTTTACAGGGTAGGTTGCCAGGTCTTTCCCCAACCCCTACCATGCAGGAGATCCTGCATGGCCAGGGATGAAACTAGGACAATTTAGACAAGAGCCAATTAACCTACCAGCATGTCTTTGGAGTGTGGGAGGAAACCAGAGTACCTGGAGGAAACCCAAGCAGAATATGCAAACTCCATGCAGGAGGTGCCATGGTTGGGAATCGAACCCATAACCCATTTACTGAACGGCAGACGTGCTAACCACTAAGCCACTGTGCTGCCCCCCCAGAATATCTAGCATCTTATTTTATTTCTTTTCAGGTACTTATATAGCACCATCAATTTACACAGCGCTTTGCATATATATTGTATATTCACATCAGTCCCTAACCCTCAAGGGCATTCAATCTAAGGTCCCTAACTTACATTCATACATGCACATACTAGGGCCAATTTAGACAGGATCCAATTAACCTACCAGCATGTCTTTGGAGTGTGGGAGGAACCTGGAGTACACCCACTCAGCCACAGGGAGAACATGCAAACTCCAGGCAGGTGGTGCTGTGGGTGGGATTCGAACCAACAACCCTAGTACTGCCAGGCAGAAGTGCTAACCATTTAGCCACTGTGCTGCCCATACCTTAAACCCAAGCCAAAGATGTTTTTACAGTTTTGAATAGAGTGGGCAAGGATTACATCCCTGCCTGTTTTACTGCTGTTTGAGGTCTACTAGGGGGATTTACGTTCACTTACTTTTCTGCTGGCACAGAAAAGTGTTACATCAGACAGAAATTGAGGGAAAATTTGCAAGGAACACAAATGTCTGTGTTGTTGTTTGAATGTTACCTTCACTTCCTGTATGGAAAAACATTGTCAACAAGACAGGAAGTGAGGGTAAATCACTCTAATGGTGCCCTAAACAGCATATAAGCAGTAAAATGCTTATGTGTTACCAATCCCTCTCCACTATATCTGTATCTGTACAAAAACTGTTTTTGGCTTTAAAAACGCTGTAATTACTCTGGGTTTTTTTTTTTTCCAGTTTTGGTTAATTATAGAGTTGGAGCACCTGTCAGGTTTTTATTGCTGTCTGTGCCTGTTAGGGAGATTCACCCTCTCTGATTGTCCTGGCGACCCTTGTCATTAGGACTAAGGCCACTTCTACATGGAGAAGGTTCCATTGGAGTCCACTTGCTCAGCAGGGGATCTGTCTACTGATCCCTGCTGAGCAAGAGGATGGCTAGTCTGGCTCTCTATGGGCGGTCGGATGTAAACGGACCATCTGTCTGTTTTTAGTGGATAGGATCGGATTGGATGTAGGCATCTGCACTCTATAGAGAAGAAAAGAAGGTCTGATCAGGTACACCTGCAAAATGGACAGACAATCTGATTGGTCCGCTAGTGTAAAAAGGGTCTAAAAGTGAGGGGAAATTCAAACTTTTGAGATGTCATCAGAACAGGAATAGAAGGTATATTTCAAATGAAGTCAACTGTTCTAGTGACAAGTGTCTAAGAGTGTTTACTACACTTTGGCAAGATTTCCTCTTAATTTCTGTTGCCTCTGTCCAATGACACAAAAATGACAAAATCCTGACAGGGGTTTCAACCATTCTCTACTCTATCCAAAATTTTATATTAAGCTTTGGCTTTAGATATACTGTATGTTATTCATGTGTTTCTGAAATTGCTGTTAATCCATATTCAGATGTATGAATGATTTTCTTCAAATTTATAGCAACAAGATTTTACTGACTGCTTAATTACACGTGATTGTGTTCATTCTTTACAAGGTGTGTTAGAAATTTTCAGTTTGAATTTTATAGATCTTAATGCAATTTTTTTAAATGTGTTTTTTCTTTTTCTTTTAAGACAACACAAGATGGGTCATCTCAACGCCACACCCCTACCCGCATTCCCATGGCAAAAGGTATGAAAGCAGTAAAGCCAATAATGGCAGTGCCAGGAGCAGGAAATCATTCAAAAGCATTTGAGCCACGTGGCGAGAGTCAGTCTATGAAAATAGAATTGAAGAAGTCGCCAGCCAACAGCTCTACCCCTCTGGGAGGGGGGAAGGGCTGAGGCTAAGCCAGCCTCAGGGGTATGTGCAGGTGGATCTGCTACCATGAAAGGCAGTTCCCTGTTTATCAAAATTCTTAGATCTGTACTAATCAATGACTTCTTTGTTCACCTCTCTGCTGCTCAAAGGACCTGCAGGCTGGTGAGCCATTGACCTTTTGTCATCTAGTTGTTAAAAATAACAAAATTAAAAACATAACCATGTGTCTCAAAGTTAGATTACTAGAAATTTTTCTATACTGTAAAACATTGTTTCAGACAATCACCATTCTCCAGAGTAGGGGCAGTTCCAAAATAATTTTTTGGCTTCATTCAGTCAATTGATATACCTAAAGTGCATGTAATTGCAAAACTTTTTTTATAGTTTTTGGATAGAATTGGGAAAGATTAGACCCTCTGTCAAATTTTAATTGTAGCCTGTGCCTTTGCTGGGCAGATTCGCCGCTCTACTTGCACCCACTGTCACCAAGAGACCCTACAGTTTAGAATTATCATGAGAACAAGAAGGGAGGGGAGGTTTTTTCCATGTGTGTAAATGTTCTGGTGACAACATTCTAAGATGGGAATTTTCCTAACATTGTAAAGATTTGTTTTCATATCCTCTTTTGCCTCCAAGATAGGAAGTGAAGGGAAATCCAGGACAAAGAATGCAAAAAATAACCTGACAAGTATTTTGACCTTTGCCTATTCTCTCCAAAACTATGAAAAAAGTTTGAGCTTTAAAGTGATGTATCCTATTACTGGTGGCACAGCCAAAATGGTGAACTGGCATTTTAAAATTTTTTATTTCATACTTAAAATATGCCAGTACATCATTCAAGCGTACCTGCCAACTACAAAGGGCATATTAAACCTGTTTCCAAACAGACACCTTTTATAATGAAACTTGTTACATGACAGCTGTAAGTCCACTTGTTGCATGTATAAGGAACTGATATTATGTAGGCAAATACAATGCAATGTGCTTACGAGTATTTAAACTGGCACAGAGCATGCCTTATTATAATTAGAGCTTTTCCTAGAAAATACAGAAATACCACAGCATGCCGCTTCCACTTTCCTTTTATTGGGTACTTGAACAAAAGAACTGAAGCTAGAGGTCATTGATTCCAATGCTTTTAAGTATTTTTGTTGTTTTACAGTATAGAAAATTCTATAGAAAATTGATATTTAGTGCAGCATGTGTTGACCTGCATGCCAGGTACTATGAAGGGATATGATTTTCCCATGTGGCATGCATATGCCTGTGTGTTGCATTGCTCTCTAGTTACATGTGATCTGCATGATTAGCATAGCAACATTCCGTTTACTTTCCACAAACCTATGAAATGCTGCCCTCTTCTGATCAACTGTGATCTGATACGTTAAGCAATTTGCAAACGCGGTTTCTGTTTGGTTAAAATACCTTTACACCTTTATCTATAAATGGAAGAAAAATACAATGTTATTTATATTGAATTATCTTTTCACTTGCAGTACAGGTTTTGGAAAGTAAATTAATTCATGATTACAGAAATGTTTTTATGTATTGTAAAATTTACTCTTTGTTCCCTACAGGAATCCAATAATATGTTCATGTCTAAAAGCCTACACCATTTGAATTGTGTTGATCTTATTTCTCAATGTCCCTTATTCTATGTATTAGCTATTTTTTTCATGCATATACAATTTGTATTAGAGAATCAAGTTTTACAAATAGAATAAATCATAAAGCAGTATACAGCACACATGTCAGATTATAAGGAACATCATACAGAAAAATAGGGGCATTGTAATTGCAATAACATAAAGTACATCTAGCAAGTCCATCTACTTGCTGCCTGGTAGCCTCCAACAGATATCACTTGCCAATAAGTAGATCCATTTTCACTTAAGGACCAGGAACAATACTCTATCCCCTGTTGGGTCCAGAACATGCATCAGCACTCCTTAAGACTAACCTCAGAGGCCTACCATAACTGTACCATCCTGTACTGCAGTACACCACTATAAAGGTATAGATAGGGCTTTTTCAGGAGGGAACATGGGGGAACGCAGTTCCAGGGCCTCCGTCACTGAATTTATGTAATGGCAAGGGGTGTTGGAGTGTGCTGGAGGGTCTATGGATGCTGGCTGCCTGGGGATCTATTGTTGCTGGAGGAGATCTAATTTGTGCAGGGAGTCTATTGTTGCTGGGGAGGTCTATTGTTGCCAGTGGGGAATCTATTGTTGCTAGGGGTGAGTCTTACTTTGCTGGGGGATCAAGTGTTGCTGGGAGGGATCTACTGCTGAGGGAGGGGTCTTTTGTTGCTGACTGTTGGAGAGTATATTGATGCTGGCTGTGGGGAGATCTGTTGTAGCTGCTGGTTGTCTATTGTTGCTGGAGGTATTTTTTGCAGGTGGTCCATTGTTGCTGGGGAATCTATTCTTGCTGGGGGGGTCTGTTGTTGCTGGCTGCAAGGGATTTATTACTGCTTTTCTTGCTATCATTAGCAAATTCAGGAAAAATTACTTAGCACCACATACTGATACTTGAGTCTGTACTCTCTGAAAGGGCAGTATTAAGAGGTGGGCAGGGGGTGGAACCAAGGACCAGTGCTCGGATGGGTGGAGACAAGGGGTGACATGGAAAGGGAGAGTAATAACTTTTAGAAGAGTGCACAGAATCTCTCAGCTTGGTTTGTCATTTGCCCCTTGATCCTAGTCGATTTTCTCTAGAAGTACCTAAAGAACCAAGGACAAAAAAATTTAAAAAAACTTATTCTCAAAGTGTTCCTGTAGGGAGATAAGGGGGTTCATTTACTAAAGACAAATAAGCTGTTCACTTTCATAGGGAATTTGCGCTTTGCACTTTTAAAGGGAATTTGTACTTAACTTAGTGAATGAGATGAAGCTCTTTAGACTTCCATTATCCAATCATGTGGAAACAAAAATACCATTATTTTTATTTTCCTTGAATGTGATTGGGTATTGTTTTCCCCACATTCAAGGAAGGAATAAATAAATATTGATTCTTCAGGAGCTGTGCTGATTATTTCTGAATAAACAAAAACCAGTGTGCATAGCATTGTTATATGACGAAGGTAAGAATTGTTGCTAAGGAACAGTATGTACACTGCACATACACTACACATGTAAACTACTAGTACACATCAAGGTAAAGGTGATGTAGTCGGGTAGTGGCTGAGTGCCAAAAACAGAAGAAGAGACCCAAATATAAGAAGGATCAAAGGCTCTAAGAACACAAATGATATATACACTAATTTAAGTAGGGGCTAAAATTGCCAAATGACAGTGAATGCTATGCATACTGTATATATATGTTATTTATATAATGATTGTGTTTTTTGTTCATTCAGAAATATTCAGCACAGCTCCTGAAGAAGCAATATTGTAGATCATTGACCTAAACACATCAAGAAGCCCTGTCAAGCACATTGCTAATTGATGGCTGCTTTACACCATAGGGGTCTTGAAAGTATTTGGGTAGTCTGGAAAGTATTTTAATACGTTGTCACTCTGTTTATAATTATTGTGTTACCTTTGTTTGTGAACCTTAAATAAATTTGTACTTTTTTAATGAAGATTGTAGAGCCTATAAAGTCCATTTGGTATGAAATGACTTCACCAATCTAATTATGCCCATTATTTCCACTGGGGAGGCAAGCAATAGGTGAATTATGTCCTAGGCATGCACTACCTTATAAAATAAATAGCATAGTTTGATAACCATTTCATGACCAGTGTAACATTCCTCTAGACCTTAGAAGTTTTTTTTAATTTATTTTCCACAGTTGGCTCCAAAGTGCTATGGCCAAGTATTGTTTAGATATGATTGCTATGCCAGTTGGTCACTGTGTAATGTTAGTGGTTAACCCAGACCCTTTAAAGGTTTACAGCACTGGTGGTGTTACATGGGCCCCCCAGTGATGTATTCACTGTTGGCAGTCAGTGATCACATGATAGGGAGCCCACCCCAGCAGTTCCCAATTAAACAATGAATGGGAGCTGGCAGTGACTGCGCAGTCATTGTGCTGGGGTGCTGAGTGAGTGTGCTCCCAGCACTAACAAGGGCTGCCAGCTGAAGGGATATGTGTGGCAGCTCAGTTTTAAAGCCCACTGCCGTGCTGCCACATGTGTGCATAAGGCTGGCTTTAATAGGTTAATTTCTTTTAGCACTGTGCCGCTGTGTTCAAAGTGAAAATAAAGTTTTGGTTGGAGTTGGCCTTCAAAGCAGTTGTCTGGGGCAGCCTTTCTCAACCAGGGTGCCCAGGCACCCTGGGGTGCCTTCAGGTTTCTTCAGGGGTGCCTTGGCAAAATGTCCAAAAATTGCCCAAAACTTGTATACAAGCCAGTAGGTGAAACAAGCCTGCCTTTTAGTTACACAAAGCCACAGGTTTTCATTGTGCACCATTACGACCTTCTAGCCGCAGGCGTCCTGACAGCCAAAAACGTCATCAGTTGATAAGGAGGTTGTCAGCCGCCTGCACAGCATCCTAGTGTGACCCTCCCCTCCCCATCAGTGCTGGGGTTACATTAGCTCAGTGATGGAGAAAAACTGAGAAAAACTGAGGGAGAAGAGAAACATTGGAATACTAGTCAGTACCAGTGTGCAGAAGTGTATTTGCTTTGAAAGAATAAATCACCTCTAATGTTGGGTGTCCTACATGTGTGGATGTTGCTGCATTATATAAAACTATTAGAATAGTTTTTCAGATTTCAGAATGGGGTGCCTCAAGACTCTATATAATTTTAAATGGTGCCTTGGGACTGTCCATAATTTTAAAGGGTTCCTTGACTGAAAAAAGGTTGAGAAACACTAGTCTGGGGTATTGGTGTGGCAAGCTATATGAGCAACATCCTTGTGCAATGAGTGAAGTCACAACAACCTTGTAGATATGCTTACCTAGTGCCACATGAGGCACCCCTTATTGGCTCCTTATTGCACAGCACAGCAGAAATTATTGTGTATGCAAACTACTTTACAACATCCAAAAAACAAAATTATTCTTTTTCAGCTTACT